GAAGTAAAATCCTTTCTCCTTGATGGGATTTTCCTTGAATCCGAACAAAAACAAAGCCAAAAACTTATGTATACATGTATATATGGATCTAAATCTGTGTGCCTGTCGTCTGCCTACCTACCTACCTATCCACCCGCTCATCCACCTATCCACCTAGCCGTCCATCCTCCATCTACCCATCCTCCACCCTCTATCCATCCATCTACGCACCTAGCGAGCTGGAATCCTTTCTGGGCTCCCATGTGATTTTGGTTGTTGGGACACTTCTTAGTTCTCTGACAATTTAGGGGACGACGTAACTCCCACAAGGAATAGCTATCATGTTATCGTTAAAGACATCCTTGTCAAACCAATTAAAGGGACATGATCTTTTGATGGGTTTCTAAAATGGTATGCATCCTTTCAGTATAACTTCTTGATGATTTCTTAGTCGATGCAGGGGGAAAATGAAATTTTAATGAAATTTCTCTTTCTTTGGTTGGAAACTTGTAGGAAGTGAAGTGAAACAGGAGCTGGAATCTGTGTGCCTGGGTTTGAATCCTGGCTTTGCAGGAATCCTGTGTGCAGGATTGCATCTTGGGTAACCTTTCTGACCCTTGGCCACCTTAAAATGCCCATACAAACAGTGCCTAGCTCCTCAGGGTGTGGGGAGGTTGAAAGAGGAGAAGCCTATGAGCACAGTGCCTGGCACTTGGCAGCACTCCATCAATGCTAGTAGTTATTGTTATCATTCTCACTCCCAGAACTGTTTGTGTTTCTGGAATTTCGGGGTTCACAGTACTAGAGAAAAGGGCCCTCCTTTTTCCTTGTTTCCTGCCCCAAACTGATGTGTGTCTTTCCCTGGTGGGGGAAGTCAAAGAGAAAGGATATGCGCTAAGAAGTCTGTAGTTCCTCAAAATGAATAGAAATGACATTTCAACTCCCTTGCCCCTACTCCTGGAAATGTACACCCAAGTCTGGCCACTGAACCATAGACACACATTCACAGGAGGCCAGTAAGGCAGAAAAGAATTGCAGAGATGGACCTGAGCCCCCCGGGCTTGACAGACTGAAGACCTTCCATCTGGCCTCCTTCCCTGGCCTCCAGTACCCAACTCTGTGACCTTGAGCGAATCCCTTAACCAAGAGTCCCTTCTTAGGGAGCAGGTGGCTTTATTATAGAACTTAACACTCACAACTCATGTTCTTTCTAGCAAATTCTTTTCATCATCCTATTCTATACTTTCAAATATGATACCTTGCACCCAGATTAGGTTTAAGAATGAAACTTTTGGGGGCTGGCCCAGTGGCACAAGCGGTTAAGTGTGCGCGCTCCGCTGCGGTGGCCCGGGGTTCACGGGTTCTGATCCCAGGCGCGCACCGACACACCACTTGGCATGCTGTGGCGGCGTCCCATATAAAGTAGAGGAAGATGGGCATGGATGTTAGCCCAGGGCCAGTCTTCCTCAGCAAAAAGAGGAGGACTGGCAGATGTTAGCTCAGGGCCGATCTTCCTCACACACACAAAAAAAGAATGAAACTTTTGTTTTAAAAACAAAACCCAACTTTTTTTCTTTTTTTAAATCCTGTCCTTTGCTATTCCAGTGGCAGTGAGGTTTAAAGAGGAGGAATGTGGGATTTGGCGGATGGGGATTGGAATCCAGGCTCCACCACATACTAGCTGTGTAGACTTGCAAGTCACCCAACGGCTCTACGAGACAGGTGCGTATTCCGGTCAGCACCTCCGGGGGTGTTACCCATGCTGATGTATGTAAGTGTCTGACACACCACAGGTGCTCAGCAATTACTAGTTTCCTCTTCCAGAACCGAGCCGTTCCGTCACGTCACTGCGGAGTTGGGAGAGCCGAGGGTCGCCTGACAGGAGGCCGTTCCACTTCCTCCCGCAGCAGGTCTTTGGGGTCCACCCTTCGAGCAACAGTGAACCACACTCGGGGTGCTTCACTTCTCCCTCAAACATGAGAGGGGCACTATGCCTCCATGCGTCCAAACGAGGAGACTTTGGGGCTTTACTGGATCCTGCCTGAAGCCTTTCATGCAGCTTAACGGATTCATATCACCACCAGTTCTCTTCCTGGGTGAGTTATTTCAGCACAAGTTCTAAATGCCCTGTCGCCTTTAGTGAGTTTGCGGGGAGGGGGGGGGGAGGTTGTTCCTGGGTATGTTTGGTTCTTTTCTCTCTCCTTTGGTGTTGGGGGGTTGGGGTGGGAAAAGAGTTGAAAATAATCTCTTTAAAATGGTGACATTTGCTTGACCACGGTGACATTTTTATGGTATCGAAGCCCTGCTCACAGAAATGGAGCTCCACTGAGAAGGATCAGGAAAGCTCAGGCTCAGCTCTTAGCATTTGTGTTCACTGATTCACCACCCTCCACCCCCATCCACCCACAGGCAGTTTTTCACTGACACTTAATCAGATTGTACGCAGTAGAGAACACTGGCGGTTTGCGCACACACTGGATTTGGACGCTGCTGTTCATTTTTAACTTCCTCGAGACAAATTGTACTTTTCCAACTCTGGCCACCACACTGAATCACAATAAGACACTTTTTCCAGCCAGCCAACAATGACACCCAATCTGACTAGAAAAAGATTCTAACTTAAAATATCCCGACAAGACTCAGGCCTGCCAAAACAAAATGTTCTCTAATAAGAGAGACTGAATTGGTACTGCTAGACAAAGAGTTCCTAGGAGGGCACAAATGTTCATTTTCTGAATTCTTAGAGTTTATTCAAACCCTGTGGTCCCTATTCTCAGAGCATGGGGGGTGGTGCTGGAGGATTTTGCAAAGGAAAATTTTTGTGGGAGGGAAATGATATGAATTATTAGAAAGAATGCACAGCACGGAACGGCAGATTCAAAGCACAGGTTGCTTGTGTGAAGTGGTATTTGGGGCCCTCGTGAGAAGTAAGGGCTGATCTGAGCCAGTGAGTGGCATCACCAAAATAGCTTTGCAAGGTGCTCCTCATTCTGCAGAGCAACTTTTCTTCTTTTTTCTTCTGGGGTGGGAGTAGAGGAAGAAAGGAATTAAGGAGCTGAATTGGGAATGGGACAGGGGTCAGAAGCTAGGCAGCTATGTAGAACCCCAGCAAAGTTAAATGCAGACAATGGCAACAGCTTTGGATATGACTGAGGGACAGGACCAGGAACCTGGCAGGCCAAACAATAAAGTGGGGTTCTAAGGCTTCCTGACACCAGTAAACACGCTAAAACATAGAGCAGTGTATGCCTCCCAGAGTATGTTCCATGGGATCCTGTGTTACCTGTAAACAGACTATAGTCAAAGAAATTTACGGGGGAAACACTTTCAACAAAGTTAATAGGTTTCTTCACTATAGAATTTCTCAAAGCCTTACCTATTTTGACTTCCCAAGGAACAGGGTGCCTTATTTTCTACACTTATTTAATGGCAGAACTTTTTATTTTTTGTCCTTTCTTGTGGTAAGTACTATCTTAGTGCTCTGAAGATCATAATTTGGAAACTAAATATTAGAGTTTCTTGCTTATTATTCTGTCATTAGACAGGGAAAAAAAATTACCTTTTAAATGTTTTTAACTCACTTCATTGACATCTTCATTGTTCCTTAATTTTTAAAATCAAGAATTTACTTTCCCTGATTTTTGATCGGATTTTAAGGGTGTATTTCTAAAGGTAAAAAAAAAAAAAAAATCCCTAAAAAAATTCTTTATTTTCCTTCTGAACTGGGTGTGGATACAAACCTATTACCAAAAGAGGTTATGAAATAACTTGATTAAGGATGGTTAAGAATGGAGTAGAGAACTTTCCTTGTTGGGAGGGTTTAGGTGAACTGCCTGTGACTCAGGAAATGCAGCCCAGACAGCCTCTCACACCCTCTACAGATTCACCACTCTGTGATTTAAACACCAAAAGTATTATTTCAAAATACAGTTGTAAATAAATATTTCCTGAAATGAAGAAACTAAATCTACTCATGTCCTTTTTTTCCTCTCTCCTACAGTGTTGAAACTACCCCAGAATGCCTAGGGATAAGGCAGAGGGGGAATCAAGCGCCACTCACACCTCCAGTACCCCGAGGCTTCCTCAGATGCCCTGCCCTGCACTGCGAACATAAGTTTTGCCTATTACCAGCCAAAGCTTCTGTAAGCTTCCGGGGGGTCCTAAGCACTGCTGGTTCAGCCCGTGCCCTCAGGCACCACTGCAGATGGAAGAGTTGCATGTTAGGAAAGACCATTCAGAAGCGAAAGCCCTCTACAGGCCATTTGTCTCAGGACAAGAACTGCGGCTTCTAGTCTTAAGAACACCATACCCAAGGTAAGAAAGAGAAATTAAATTTAACAAAACGGGATATCCTCAGTGTTACATTTCATATCATAGTAAATCTTAAGCTAAAAGTTTGAACATGCAATTTAAAATATAAATACTAACATCACAGTACGCGTAGTCCACACGATTAACAGACCAAATCAAAGATAATCCTTTCGCTTCGCATGCTACAGATTAAAATCCCAGAGGCCACATCCTGTGATGTCAGGATCTAGGGAGGAACTGGGGCTTAAAAGTTAAGAGAGACTTGTTAACCAAGATCCTCTTGTAGAGTGGCCAAAAATCAAGGCTCTTCATTGACAAAGACCCAAAACTAAATCTCCCAAATACTGACCTTGCCTATTAAATAAACATTTGTTCCCTTTTATTGGACATTTGACCTTAAGCAGGTGACTCAACGCTCGGATCCTGGGCTTAGGCCTTGCACACGTACTGAAGGCTGCAAATAAAAAGATCTCTGCAGGGCAGCATGTGAACTAACAGTGCAGGCCAAAGACACAACACACCAATCTCTGTGGCCTTACGTGAGCAATGCTCACTTGCCACTAGGACTCACATGACTAGACATCTTCTCATATCGGTTTGTTCTGCCTTGGCCCAAGAGAATATTCCTAACATTTTTTAAATGTTATATTCCCAACCATGGAAGCATAATCTACTTATGTTGAAAATAAATAAGTATATTAAAAGAAAGCTGAGTTAAAAGTTTTATTCATTCAACATCTCACATTACAAATATTTAAAAATTATATGCATACTGGTATAAATAGTCATTTGCAAACTATTTAATAACATTAATTTTCCACTAGCACTTCAACAAATGAACTCTTTTAAAAAAGGAACTGTGTTATATAACTTAAGAGTAGAACATACAAAAATAGGAACTTAACGTGAAAATGACTTTAATAAAAAATGAATTACCCTTATTTAAAATGCTATAATAAATACTACAACCTCCCCATACACAGTAAAAACTATATGGAAATTCAGCCAAGTAGTACAATTAACTGACATACTTAAATAACTTTTCCTTCTGATAATATGAGCAATACACTGGAAAAAAAAAACACATTAGGGATTAGTAAAAACTAGACACCCACTTGCTAAAAGTTTCACTTCCAAAAAATATAACAAAAATCTGATGAAAATTATAAAAACTAATTATACTTTAAATTTTAAAAATATAAAAAATAAAACAGTTGAATACAATATTGTCCCAATTCTTACAATGCTATCAATCACAGTAGCTTTAAAATAAGATAATAAAATAAAGCAAATGACCAAAACCTCTTTTATTCCATTTTTAAAAATAATCTCAAATTTACATTAGTAGAAAGATTGATTTCTGATTCTTTTCTTTAGAAACACCAGCAAGAAAGAGGATTACTCTTAACAGTAGAAAATGACATTTTTAAATGTCTGCAATTAAAAACAAAGAATTACACTGCAAAGATCTTTCAAAAGTTTGAAATAAGTATTGCACATAACTTGAAGTTAACTTGCCACAATTCATCACATTCAAGTTTTAAATCACCTTTTAACAGAAGATTCAACTCTTCAAAACAAAAGGGGTGCATTATCAAGTCTTTCCAACAGCACTCTCATAAAATGCTAAATTCATTCACTGCAAGTTTTATTTTGCATTCTGCAGAGGTCTGTGTATGGAGAAGTATATATATTATACCAAAGCGGGGGGACCCGAGGGGGAAGGAAAAGGGTTCCTTTACATAGAAAATAATCAGAAACACTTTATTTTACATTGCAAAAATAACCATGTAATTACTCTGTAACTACATTGTAAGTACATGGCTGATGCCATGCTAGTGCGCTAGAACTACATGCTTGGTAAATTGAAGTGATACCCTAAAATCTGTAAACTAGTTACATGTTAATTATGTTTTGAGTTACATGGTAACTCCCAACTACAATCCCATGTAATCTGAAGGACATGTAATCAATAAAGTTCAGAGTACTAGATAATAATTGTTTATGCCCTGTAAATTGAAGTGTAACCAAATAATCTGTAAACACGCTTGTCACACAATCACAAGTAAATATTAGTAGAATAACAATTTCTTACATTAGTCATGCATACTAACATTACACACCTGTCCCATGGCAGGCTATTTTTTTTTCTTTATGTATAATTTAAAAGAGCAGACATCTCTGAATCACACACTTAACATCAATTTATTAATATTAAAAATGGCTAAACATTCACCAAAAATGTCTGCGTTATGAATAATTTTAAAAACTGAGTAAGAAGCTGTAGACAATTTTGTTATTTTAAATTTCTACCCTATGCTTATGCAGTTAGTTTTTTTTTTTTTTTTTTAGGAACTACAGTGTTATCTGTCATTTTCATGCGAATTTTTTTCATTACTTGTGACTTTACATAGACTATTTCTTAAATTATAGGTACACCAATAGCTGGTGCTGGGGAAGGATGTTTAAGCAACATGCTTTCTCTTCTCTGCAGACTCTAAAATAGCATTGCCAGTGCACAACATTCATAATTTAAAATGTATGCAGAGCACTGAAATGTATAAAAAGCAGAATATAAGAAAATAAAATTTATTAAAATTATTTATATTAAAAAATGAAGTATATGAAGATCTCTCAGTAATAAAAGTACAAAAAGCTACTCTTTGCAATATGAAAAATTGAGGTATTGCATAAAGAGATATCCCGTCAGTGAAAAGTGTGCCTAAAAATGTTCACTGTTGGAAAAACAAGATATACAAAAGTAGTGCATAACAAATATACATTATGTGCATGACAAAATAAGTTAGCTACAAAAACACTGTACCGAAATTCAGCAGGTCATGTACAAAGGGAAAAATTATTCTTCAAAGCTAGTTCTCAAACAGTGTTATTTCTTGTTAACTCATCACACCTGTTTACTGAGTAGGAACAGCACAATAGCACACCCCAAGCCACCTACAAGCACTGAAAAGAATAAAAAGAGGCAAATGAATATTCCAATTAGAATTATGTAGTTCAGGAGAAAAGAAAAAAAAGTCCCTGACCAGCTACACAAGAGCACCCTCCAATCACACGACTGCTTTCAATACTTGCAGGGAATTCCTCAAAAGCAGCTCCCTTTCTATGTTTGACTATTCGACAGCAAATGCCTCCATTTTGACCTTTGGAACTTAACAGGTATATAGTTCGTTAAAGCCTGTATTAAAAATAAAGGACTGCTTTTCCTAAAGATAGTCAGTAGGGGTCATGAGCCAGGTGGTTCCACCCTAGTGCTGGGGCAAGTCTTTGGTTTTGAAGGATCCAAGATGGTACTATTAGGTAGCACAACTAGCAAGATTGCCATTAGATTTTTTCTTTAGTTTTGCAGACTGATAATAATCCTTTTAATGGTGGATAGGGCATTTAATAAGAGAATGTCAATTAAAATAAAAGTTACTTCCATTACCAGGGCTTCAAGAGACTATTTTAAATTTACCCCTGAAGCATACTGTTCAACACATAATAACGCCTTTCAAAGCTAGAATTTTATTTATAATAAAGCATGCATTACTTGATGAAGTTGGCACTTCAAACACTGACTATGTCCCATGCTAAGTTGTGAAACTGTAATGTTATTTTATTTTATAGGAAGAGTAAGATAAACATACGCACCTTTGCACAGATTTACACAGTTACTTAGTTCAACAGTGCAAAACACTTTGCAACTACTTAACTTTTTTTTTCATTTTCTATGTTACAACTAAATTACAGGATACCCAAAGTAACTTTAAATCTAAAAGTAAGCCAATTAGCAGCCAATTTGTATGTTGGTTTTGTCTTCCAGTTTTGGCTACAAGTGTACTATAACACAAAATCAAAAATGATATCCTTGAGGTATCTCTAGATCTGGTTTGTTTTTTTTAACGTCAAAATGGAGAGCAAAGGCTGACACCTAATGAGTGTTAGTAAATTAGGATATAGAGTTTATATATAACATCAAAAATAAAATTTATACCTTTGTTCTTCAGGAGAGGAAATGCTAGTTTTCCCACCAGTTGTCATTAATTCTAGCTTTGGTAGGTTTCCTGGGGCTGTGACCAGATAAGTAAGTTTAAAAATAAATAAGTGCACTCCCCTCAGTACTAAATTTACCCAATTTTTACATTCTAAATTTTAAAAAGTGTTTAAAAGAAAATAAACCTAGCTCTGCCTATTTTACTATTCTTTTTCTGATGTGGTAGTAACTCGGAGGCATATGAAATGATATTCAGCCTCTAAACCCTTAAGATTAGTTATAATGCTGCTTCAATCTTGCTCATGCATTTGTGTTTGCTTTAACATGCTCTTTCTCGTTAATAATTGTTAACTTCCTCCACTGCTGTTGAAAGAATAAAAAGGGGATGAAAAAAAGAGAGAGGCAAAAAAGATGAAAGAAAAAAAAGGAAAAGGCCAAAGCACTTCCCTGGGGGAGAAACTGTGTCAGGATAGACTGATAGTGTTATTGTCGCATGGTTATTTGAATAAAAGTAGTCTTATATGTTATATCATTAACAATAATTTAATTAAAAACCCAAAATACTCTATTGTTTCACTTCTCTTTTAATATTTCTCTCTCTCCTCTAAGAAAATGTTGCAGGAAGTTTGGATCCTCTTGGTCTCCAGCAAAACAAGAGAATAAAACTTCCATGCAACATGATGGCAATATGAAAAAGGAGTTCATACATATTGTTTTCAGTGACACAAGAATCTACAAAACACCTATATTATAGGTCATTCTTTTCATTATACTATTGTTAAGTTAACAGACTGCTACAAAAGGACATGCCAGCGTGAAGAGGTTGAGGAAGGGGTCAGAATTAACAGAAGAGTGCACTTATTCTGAGGCCTGAAAATGAGCACTGTAGTTATCCTTTAGTTCCAGCGGAATGAAATATGTCGAGGACGGTCACCGCCTTCCTTCACCAGGGGCTTGTGGAATTCCCTGCCAGCACGAGAATGAATAGCAGCCCAGCAATATTCACAGTAATACTGCAGACAGGTAACATTAGCACAGAAAAATGGAGCAAATTTTCCTCCACAACGGGCCCCCTGACATTCATCACACAGCTGATCATCCAGGACATATGGCTTAACTTCCACCTGCAATCAAAAATAAAAGTAGTTTACATTTTTCAGTGACTGGACCAAGCAACTCCTATGGTGTGTGTACATTTCCACCCACTGTCGGAAGGAATCTATGCCAAGGTGCCCAAAAGGAAGTGTCGATAATTCTTTTACTGAAATTAAGATACTCCATCTTTTAAGAATCTGGTAAGGTTTTTATAACCATCATTTTACATTTTTGTCCTATTAAATAAATTTTTCAAAAGAAAAAAGGATTCTATCAGAAATAATAAAATGAAACCAACTGTTTAGACTAGAACAGTATGAGATTAAATAGACAGGAGAGTTTTCATAGACACAAACCATCATTTTAATTAGAGGATCTGGATTTCTGCATATGCAGAATTATAAATTAAGCAAAATCAACTACGAGCTTTCCAGTTCCACAAAGTAGCACTTCAATATTCAAATCAGAGAGAAGATGCCTGACATCTGCATCACAAGCTTCAAAGCTGTAGTAAAGCCTGGGTCATGGTTTCTATTTACAGTGAACACATCTTGGGTTATAATCACAAACCTGGAACACTGGGAAAACGAGACGCAGCCATGGTACTCACAATCTAAAGCCCTGCTTTGTTCTTTGTCAGTCAGTAAGAATGGTTTACTTCAGCCTAAAATGTGAATTTATAAAACTGGGCCTGTTCCAGTGTTCAATAGGCCAACCTGTCATTTGAGCCTCTTGAGCATTAAAAATAACCTGGCTATTAATTCACCAGTGAGAAAGAGTTGGTTATTTTTAGTCGTGGAGAGACTCATGGTTGAAATCCCTTACACCAGCCTATCACTACACTGGTGCCATCCAGTTCTGACAAGGAATCCTGACAAAGGTTAGCTGTGAACAAAAGAAGAGTGACATGGAAGGCAGAAAGAGCAGATATAACGAGAGCACTAGGCTTCTGGCCCTGAGGCCATTCATAACATCTACAGAGTGGCAAGAACACTGGTCAAAGAATTTGATCATACAGGAATACAAATTAAGTCTGAATTTCTAATGACTAACCTTACAACTCTGAAACCTATGTTGGAATGAAGCAGTGAGGCAGGAGAGACTGTTTACTCAAATGTACATATTTTTTAGTGTGAAGAAAAAATAAGTAGGCATGTTAATGTACACTGCAACTTCCCCCTGTAATCTTGCCCCCTTCCTCCATGTTTATAATAAAATCTACACCTTTCTCTTTAATATAGTCACAGTATAGTATGATGCCACTATGATCTTAAATGTTATACTGCTTCTGAAATAGAATATACCTGATATGAAACATTAGCACTCAGTGTAAACCACTAGGTATTGACTTGATAGTTTCTACATCTTGAATTGGGAACAGCTCAGTGCAATCCATCAATCACAACTTTTTTAAGCACAGTGCCTCAGAGTGTAGGGATATCTAAGTCAGTCCTAATACAAGTGCGAGTCTGCCATGACATAAGGAACTGACACCAGAATATAAATCAACGCATTGCTTCTTTCATCAAGAAGGTCTTTCTATGAAGAAAAAAATGTCAGCTGAGTCAAACACTGTGCTTACTAATGTATTTGATTCACATTCTGGTGTAAATTCCTATCTCACCACAAACCAGTAACAAACTCTTTGCCGACTGGCAGTCGGTTCACAGGCTACACTTTGAGCAGTATTGGTGTAAGATAGAGTTCTATCTACCAGAACTAAACTTTTGAGGACAGGACTTCTTGTCCTGGGCACTAAAACATTTGTTGAATGCATGAAACACAAAGATAAGAAATAAATCTATGAATACAAAGAAATAAGACATATAATGGAACATACAATTTCACATACAATACATTAGAAAACAAAGGAAAGAGCTATCTTTGGGGTTTTCTCCAGCCTTTGATTCAGAGGATAAACCCAAACAAAGAGATATTTAAAAAGTGCTGAAAATAATGCTAAATAATTACTACCAAATTTCAGGTGGTAGAATAGACTACAAATGGAAAGACTGTGATTTCTTCTACTTAATCTGTTACAGTGAAATATTTCTAAGACACGCAGTCCAAGAAGTGAATTTATTCAATCATTTGTAACACAGTACATTGGAAAATAGGGCTTGTGGAGGTATTCATGATGTCCCAGTATTGAAAAAAAAAAAAAAAGTCAAGAGATCTCAAGGGCATTCATGTTTGTATACTCAGTATAATATAGTACAAAGGATTTGGTAAATATTTATTGAATGACTGACTAACTTAATAAATGGATGGATGGAGGTGATAGCGTAGGAAAGATGACATTGACTCAAGTAAATTGATTACAGTGTTCTGGTTAGGCTATTCAAAAAACTAAGAGATCACAGAAATTCAGAGGAAATTCCTAGATGTATTATGGAGCATACATCTAATTGGTCCTATAGGCCTAAGTGTCTGCTGTCAACTTATTGTCATATAAAATTCCCCCAGTCCAATCTTGGTAATGGCACATTTAGAGGGCCATTTCTAGAACTTTCCAGGATGCAGTCTAGGACTTACCCGTTTATCTATCTCTCCATGCTGCAGCTGAACAAAGCGGGCACTGATAGCAGCTATGTAACTCTGTTGATTAGAGAATGCGACTCGCCCAGCTCCTTTTGGGTATTTCAGCTCAGGGTCGGTATCAATCCCAGCATAGCACACCCCTCCATACAGCCGATCCATTATCATCGCAAGCTCCACTGAATAAGAAAGGATCAAAGGGGGTAGTTGAAATTGGGAAAATCCATTTGCCTCACCAAAGGCTTCATCAAAAGCAGTTCACCTAAACTCTGAGCTCACAACATCATAATAATTATTAAAATCAAACTTGTTATTACAACCAGTTGTGCACCATGTTCATCTTTAATCTTTTAACTAAGAGCAGGGGCTCTGCTGGGTGTTTTACATATGTTTTCTTTTAATCTTCACAATAGCCCTATGAAGTAGTAGTCATTTCCTGAGGAAACTGAGGCACAGAGAGGACGCTCAATCTGTCCAAGGTCACAAATGAATAAGTGATAGCACTGGGCTTGGCACCTGGGTCTGTCTGCTCTGTACAACATTGCTGCCATATATTTACCAGTCAACAACGTATTGCTTCACACAGAGAATCATTTGAACACTAGAAAACTGATTGGTAGACTCTTTGTTTGGGGGGTCCTTCTAGCTTATCTCCATCAAAACCTTGTCACCTTTCCCCACAGTCTAGCTATTTGCCAATTTTTGATATAAAAACTTGAAATAATGAATGTATCTTCTTCTCTACGAAATGTTACAATTTTGAAACTGCATTCTTGTTCATTTTATGTTCTTTATCTCACTTATACTATTAAACCTCAAATTACTTGAAGTTGGGGATGTATTTTTTCTGTAAGTACTGCTCTAAAAGCAGATGCACTGCTGAGAACCCTATTATATTTCAGAGCTCAGTAAATAGCTGTTGAGCAAATGAGGACATGGAAACAAACACTGAATATCTCAATACATAATCTATTCTTGAAGAGATTGTTTTCAGATGATGAGGATAGCGATGACGACCATTAGCATTGTAAGACACCACACTATGCACTTTGCATTGGTTATCTCATTTAATCCTCAAAGCAACTCAATATAAAGTAGATGCTTATTGCTCCATTTGACAGATGAGGAAATTGAAAATTAGAGAGATTAAGTAAGTTGTCCAAGGTTACTCAGCTATTAACTGGGAGCAGAATACATGAATTCAAACCCACACACTTTGCTTCTAGAACTCTCACTCTTAGACATTAACTCAAATGCTTACGGAGAATTTATCCTGAAAAATCTTTATATTTCTTATGCTAAAGGATAAAGAGGGGTTTTTGTTTGTTTGTTTAATCGTACCAGCTCGTAATGGTCGAGGAACACCACCAACAAATATAGTTTTTCGTGGGTCAAGAGGCTGTGAACCATCCATCACAAAATCACTGTCACTGAGATTCCAAGGCCGAATCTGTACCTAGAAAGTATGCAAACCGAAATGTCTCATTCTCAATGCAGACAATTTATGGGGAAAAGAAGTTTAAAATTATTAAAGAGTATTTTATTTTTAAAAGCAATAATCTACACTATTACAAATCAATAAAACTGTAAAACTAGAAAAAAATTAAAAATAGCATATCCCAACTCTTTATTTTATTTTTAAGAGTAAACTAAACCAAGACGGAAAGTTCAACTTAATTGCCTATTATAAGCCAAATCACTAACATTGTCCTTAATTATTTATAAGTTAATTAGCTGTTTTTCAGCTTATTTGGGCCTGTATCCCACCCAATCCCCCAATATCCAAGTAATTTAAATTTAGCATGGTATCTGATGCTGATTAGTACATAGTGCTAAGTAAACTAGGATTGTGTGCCCAATCCTATGTCCAGGAAATGCAAACTACTCCTGATACTAATAAGTCTGCTGCATTATTTCAAAATAAAAATGTTAATGATATTTGCAGTCAACTTTTTTTATGATAAAACACTTCAGTGTATCTATTAGGTCAGTCAACCAAGAATCATGCACCTCATTTTAATTGTCTGCATTTATTAATTGTTACAAATGCGCACACTGAAGGTTATGCGTTGATAGTAGGGTATTCCCAATACGTACATCAACAAAGCCTTAAGGTCAGAGATCCCAAATTCAAATACCTATGAGGACTGGCAGGAAACACAAACAAGTCAAGTAGAAAGAGTCTAGGTCACAGGAACTCTGGGACAACCCCAAGACACCAAGAGGAGCTCCACAAATTACTGCTTGAGCTGAGCCCACTGACAACTCTATTCTGCACTGTACCCCATCACTAGGTGCTGGCTGAGTGACAATAAATTGTTGATCTGCCAGATTTGTCAAAACAGGCCAGTTGCTCCTATTCCTAAAGACTAAATTTTATGATAAAGAAAAACTTTTTCAAAAAGAAAAAACAATATGCAATGTACAGGATAGAAGGGCAAATTGGTTCTATTCTAAAGGATAGAATTGGGTAAAATTTTGATCAAACAGAGGGAGGAGACAGAAGGACATTCACAGGGGCTGGCTCCGTGGCTTAGTGGTTAAGTGCGTGCGCTCCGCTACTGGCAGCCCAGGTTCGGATCCCACATGCGCACTGACGCACCGCTTGTCCGGCCATGCTGAGGCGGCGTCCCACATACAGCAACTAGAAGGATGTGCAACTATGACATAATAACTATCTACTGTGGCTTTGGGGAGAGAAAGGGGGAAAAAAAAAAAAAAAGGAGGAGGATTGGCAATAGGTGTTAGCTCAGGGCCAGTCTTCCTCAGCAAAAAGAGGAGGATTGGCATGGATGTTAGCTCAGGGCTGATCTTCCTCAAAAAAAAAAAAAAAAGACATTCATATATTTGGGATTTGAGTTATATTATTCAGAGGAAATTCAGCTACTTCATCTTTATCAAATGCATTATCAAGTAAAGTCTTCTAAGAGTAAAGATTTACCAATATTTTAATTAACTAAAAATTCAATATCAAAATAATGTGCACAAGTATACAGAATATGTCAATGTTAGAAGCTTGACAACAACAAAACTTTACTTCAGTTCTACTTACAAATGTGTCAATTAACAGACACACCAAGATGCCTGTGGGTTTTTCAAATAGAGCAGAGAATGGAGGCAAAAATAAGAAGCTATTTTCATGCTAGACTACACTTACTGGCTTATCTTTGATAGTGGGACTTGATACACACAGATAGAGTTTTCCATCTTCTTCAATACACGCATCAATGAGAGCCTGAACAGAGCTTTCGTCTTGGAATAGCAGGAATGCATAGCCTGATAAAGAGGAAAAAAAGACTTACATGTTTTCCTAAATTTTTTTTGTAATTCTTCAAGAGAAAGGAAGCATAAACTAAAACTAAGGAAGGGAAAAGGAATTAAAAAAAATGAAAACTTAATATTCCTACCCAAAGTCCGATAATATCAACATTAAGTTCAGTTTTAGATCTTGAAACATTTTTTAGAGTATTTGAATTGAAAGTATATATCAGGTAGAAATTTTAAAGATGCTTTTTGGAAAAGATAAGTTTAACTATGGAAAATTTTACAATGAAGGTAATTTATGAAAAGGCTAAACACTAAACAATATAAGGACAAATTATACATGTATATTGAATCTTGAGAATTACCTTTAGGAGGAAAATAGGATTTGCTCTCCGCTTTATGAGGCCAATCCACAATCAGAGGGCCAAAGCGACGAAAACTAGCCGTGATCTCATCTAATGAATAACAGCAAAAGAGTAGATTAATATTTTTATGATTATTTTTTGGAAGTAGTTTAAAAAAAAACCAGTTTCAAATCTACTATTTACAACCACAGTACAAAGAACTTTCCCTGTATCCCCATCATCTAGATTTCCCAACTGATAATATTTTGCACATTTGCCTTCCCCCTCTTCCTTCTCTCTTCCCCTTCCTTCCTTCTAACTGTATGTATGCATAAATCAATCAATCAATCAGTCAATCAATCTATCTATCTATCTATCTGTCTTTTTCTGACATGACACTCTGTAACCACAAAACACAACTGTTGATACCTGCTCAAGGCAAGGTCACTTCCTTATATGTCACTACAGAACCCTCCCAATCAGGTAATCAACACTGATACAATATTACCACTCAATTCACAGACTCCATCCAAATTTCAAACGATCCCAAGTTTCTTTTTCCCTTTCTGATCCAGAATCCTATTCAGAACACATGCTGCATTTAATTGTCACGTCCCTAGGGCATCAGTCTTCTTCACTTTGGAACAGCTACTCATTCTTTCCCATCTTTTACATCCTTGACAGGCCATTCATTCTGCAGGATGACTCTCAGCCTCAGTCTGTACTCTGTTTCCTCATGATCAGACTCATTCTATGCATTTTAAACAGGAATACTGCCATCATATGCCATGTCATCCTGTCCTACCACTGGCATGTTAATTTAGACCACCTGGTCAAGCTGGCGTCTGCCTGGTTTCTCTATCAAAAAGAAACCATTTTCCCCTTTGTATTTGATTAGTATTTTGTGGGGGGATATTGTGTTATCCATCAATATCCTGTTCCCTCATCAGCCTTGGCATCCGTTGAAGACTCCTGCCTATATCAACTACCACAATGATAGTTGCCAAATGGTGATTACCCATTTCCATCATTCCTTCTACATTTACTAGTTAGTATCACACAATAAGGAAGAGTTTTCCCTTTTCCCCTCTTTATTTAGCCATGTATTTATTCATTTATATCAGTATAGACCTATTTCACTCAATAAGTTGTAATCTGAATCTCTCCTTATTTATTTTGATAAATTTATCCCCAAAATTGTCGCTGATTTGGCCAATGGGATGTCCCATGCCCTTCTGACCTATCCCCATCATTCTTAAAGTGCTTCCATACTTTCTGACCCAAGAAGATACTCCAGGCTTTCATCTGGTTCTTTCTCTGCTAGCCCTAGAGTCAGTCATTTTTTTTTTTCAAGAAGTCCTATTTCCTTTCAGTGACAAAAGATACTTAGAACTAAGACTTGGGTAATCCACATGCTCATTGCCAGTGGACATTTATTATTTCTAAGTCTTCTTACTGAACAAAGCTAGGAAGTACACGAATATACACACAACTATTTCTACATCTGTGTGTGTGTTTATCAAAGTAAGATCATATTGACACTTCCAATTCCAGTCCAACATTTCATGGTTTTTTCTAGCCTTCCCCCTTTCCATGTTCCTAAATTCTCCTCTCACTGTGAAACACGTAGCTCCCATTATCCTCAATATACAGATCTTCCTTGACTAACAATGGGGTTACGTCCCAATAAACCCATTGTAAGTTGAAACTACTCTAAGTCGAAAATGCATTTAGTACACCTCACCTATTGAACATCATAGCTTAGCCTAGCCCATCTTAAATGTGCTCAGAACTCTTACGTTAGCCTGCAGTTGGGCAAAATCATCTAACGCAAAGCCTATTTTATAATACAGTGTTGACTATCTCACGTAATTTATTGAATATGGTACTGACAGTGACAAACAGAATGGGTCTGTGGGTACAGACGGGTGTAAGTGTATCGATTGTTTACTCTCGTGATTGTGCAGCTGACTGGGAGCTGTGCAAGCTGCCGCTGCCCAGCATCACAAGAGAGGATTGTACCGCATGTTGCTAGCCCCGGAAAAGATCAAAATTCAAAATTCGAAGTACGGTTTCTACTGAATGCATATCACTTTCGCACCATTGTAAAGTCGAAAAAATTGTAAGTCGAACCATCATAAGTCAGGGACTGTCTGTATTTACTTACTTGTTCAATGTAACCAATCCTGCAGCTACCCTGGTAGCCTCCTCTACCTTCCACCTCTGCACCCCAGACCTTGTTGCCCTAATTTATTGGACATCACGCACACTGCTGCTGAGGCCTCTGAGCAGGCTCTCTCCACATACACACCTACACACACTCCCTCCACTTGGCACCCTCTCCCCACTCGACAATCTACTTCCTTGGACACCAGTATCTCTGAGCGTCGTGAGGAAGGAAAAGGAAGGGCACATGAGATGGGCAGGGAAGACCTGATCATATTTTACTAATAATTTAAATGATTCTAGTTATGCTGTGTTATCTATTTGGACAACTAATGAGTAGACTATGGGAAAATAAATTTCCAAGGAACTTCTGCAAAGAGTAAGTAAGCATGTGTAGGTAAGATCTGGGAGTAGTGCAGAACAGAGCAACAGAAAAGTGAGATGGGGAATATGTTCAAATTCCAGTCTGGTAGAACTGTTTTTGTCTCCTCCAGACTGTGAAACAGTACAGTCTGTTCTGCTATGATACCTCTTCCTACAGTGCCATTTCGTTCATGTGAGATTTTTAAAAAGGTGAATGATGTCAGTGTAACCTAGAAGTTGTACCGGTTTACCAACAATTTTTCCTAGGAATGGTGGGAATAGAATTATAACCTTCATCAGGAAAGGAAAAAACTCCCAGCTTGTCTGATGTGCAGGCAGCAGCCCTTCCAGCTCTACTATAAGAAAATTAAAAATGAGCACAGCAACCAGGGCTCTATTGCCAAAGACGTGTACTCCCCCCCTTGCTGGGCTCTTATCACCTGAGAGTTTGCTCAGGTGCTCAGAGGTCCACTTCCATCTGCGTTGCCTCCAAGCTTGCAGGCCACCATTTCTGCTCTGTTGTTTTTGTGCATTTTCAGTATTCCTTGAGGCAGCCTCTAACCGTGCTGAACTACTTGCCCGAACTGTCCAAGTTACCTCCAAGGTACTAATTCTCTTTTTGTTAGTGCTTCCAGTACAAAGTTCATTAGGTTCTAAATGATCTGCCTCTAATTCTATTTTCCCCATAAACTCTGTAATTTCTAGTGCACAATTCTGCAGAACACAATGTTATTCAGGAATACATATTTCACATTATAGTAGAAAGGCCTGCCTACCTAAATTGCTACTGAATTACCACCATAGTTGGTCTTGAGGGTAAAGCAAGATGACTAACACAATTCCCATTAATTTTGCTCAGTTTAAACCACCTCCTTTGCCAAACTGGTCAAACTTACCTTTGCCTCTAAGAATTTTAGGAACTGTATATTAAAGATTGATCAGTAATTTTCCAAAAAGATACAGACAGGCCGGCCCCGTGGCTTAGTGGTTAAGTGCGCGCACTCCGCTACTGGCGGCCCGGGTTCGGATCCCAGGTATGCACTGACGCATCGCTTCTCTGGCCATGCAGAGGCCGCATCCCACAAACAGCAATTAGAAGGATGTGCAACTATGACATACAACTATCTACTGGGGCTTTGGGGGAGAAAAAAAAAAAAAGGAGGAGGATTGGCAATACATGTTAGCTCAGAGCCGGTCTTCCTCAGCAAAAAGAGGAGGATTGGCATGGATGTTAGCTCAGGGCTGATCTTCGTCACACACACACAAAAAAAGATACAGAATATCTAGGCCAGAAAAGGAGTTTATCCCAGGTGAGGTCAGATAAAATCCAGTCTTCTCTTTTTGTATGTAAGCATATAATTTACTCATCAAAGACCATTGGAGGCTCAGGAATCCCAAAGATTTAACCTTAAAGGGTCAAAAAAACTAGAATCCACAATACTAAGGAAAATGAGGATTCTAGCTAAAGAAAAAAGTGGACAACACTGTAACCAGATGGGCAGCCCAGGATGAACACTGCGAACACAAGGTATGATGCCCTCTGAGAACAGGAGGGAGACTTATTCAGTCTAGCCTGAAATTTCAGCATGGCTTTCTTCAAGACATTTTATCATAGACAAACAAACCTCTGTGTTTATTTCAATCTTTGGCTTTTTGAAACCATTTTTGTCTCAACCTTCCAAAAGACTGATCATCTTAAGGGAATGTAGTGGCTCAACAAGTTTAATCTCAGTCTAAATGGGAAGTTATTAAACTTTATTATTAGACCTTATAGATTTTTAGAGAAAACTCTTCTATTCTCCATAGCATTAATTAATTTCCATTTCCACTCAGGAAACCAAGACAAAAGAGATTAGGGGAGAAAGCAACCCAGGATTATGTGGTTACTATATGGTCTGCTATGTTGATTTTTATTAGGGTCACTTAGACCCACAGATGAATAAAATATTACTGGACAACTAGTCCTCTAAATCTTTGTGTGGCTGGCTCCTTATTCAGGTCTCAGTTCAAACATCATTTTTTCAAAGAGGATTTCCTTAACTACCTAATCTAAGAAGACTCCCTGCATCGCCCTATCACATCACTCTGTTTTCTTTTCAACACTTATTCTCTAATATTTTCTTGCATGTTTACATGTTTTGGAATCTGCCTTCCCCCCTAGAAGGTAAACTCTATGAGAGTAGGGACTTCCTATCTTGTTTACTACTGTAAACAAACCTAAGAACAGGGCATGGCATTTAGAAAGCATGTAAATATTTGAGAAGTGAAAAAACACTCTCAAAATTATATAACTCTTAAGATTCCCTACAACTCTAGGCTATACTTTGCAAAAATTCATGCTTAATCTAAGATTTCAAGCTTTTAAACTATTACATTTATGGAGCACTCATAAAAGGTAGAAAAGAAACAGGAAGATACATAATTGAATTTGGCCAAGGCAACACACACAGACAGAAATGTAGTTAGCATTAATCTTTGCCCATGACAGAATCCTTGAGATGTTTTCCCAGTGACGTTTACCCTTTTTCATTTTGTCCAATCACTTGCTTCAGCAAGTTCCCAAAGTCCTGCTCCTCTTCCTTCTGTGAACTAATCTTATATGCTAGGATAGGAAGATATGACAAGAGAACAACACAATCAAAACTAAACACCTGGAGCAGATAAGATTGTTATTACAATAACAGCAACCACTATCTCTGAGTTACCTACTATGCGCCACAGCCTGGGCACAGCGCTATAAACAGTTCTTTCTAAATATACCTTCATCGATGTCAGGAGGTAATCCGCCCACAAACACCTTGCGAGAATATCGTTCCACTCTTTCTCCATTCTGGTGAGTGAAGCAGTGAGGCGAACCCAGGCCACTATGAAGAGGTTGATCCCCACGGCCATCATCCAAGAATCCATCTTCCATTGGAAACAGTGAAGACTGACCTGGAATAGACAGCAGGAAAAAAAGCTAACAGAAAATGTTCTTTGCCACTGGTTATCTTGCACAAAAACAAGGAAAACAGCAGATTCAATAAAACTGCTGCTTTTCTTTTTCTCACTGAATAACAAATAGGATCACTTAGATACGCTCTTGAATTCCCATCAACTTAAAGGTCCAATTAAGTCAGGAGAAAGCACATGGTTAAAGAGAGGGCTGCTCAACTATCCCACTGGGATCCGGAAACATCAGTGAGCTGCAATGGAAGCACAGCAGGAGAGAGCATGCTCTTGAAGGCAGGTGGCAGCACACTGCCTTGGCAAGGCCCCACGGCCCCTGGCAACCTAGACATGCACACTAAGTATTAAATTGACTATCAGATGCTAGATCACTTAAATTTCTTTAAAACATCAAATGATATAGCCTGCACAATTACCTCTAAGAATATCCTTAAAATGAACAAGTCGATTTTTAAAGTGAGCACTCAGCTTAGTTTACCTTAACTAACGGGATATAATCAAAACCCACTTAATGCTGTTATCCAAATTCATTGTCTAGTCTTATAGAATTTAAGATTTTTAGGCATGTTAAAGATATATTTTCTTTTAGTTGAGTAATTATCAGCTGCTACACGTGCTATCTAATTCAAAAAACAAGTCATTAAGCTTGCTGTTTGAAAATCATATCATATCGATTAGCAGAAAAGACCAGAGATGCCAATGCAGTTAACATTCTTCCCATATTTAACTGACAGCAAAATACAAAGTTTTAAATCATAAGCAAAACACGGAGCCACAAGTAACTGCAGAATCTCTCAAGTACTGTTTTGTCACTTTTCAGGCTGCCAATTTACTTCTAGGTACTACATAAGGAATTTGTTAATGGATCCTGCAGAAACGTATCTTAAGAGTTCTTCCTTTATTGAAACATTCCAATGTCCTTTTGTTGCCACGCTTGTCTTCCTTTCAGCTTTCATTACTAAACACAAATAACAACAGTATATTTGTTATAAATTTATCCTATAAAACCACAGCTCAAAAGAGTTATATAATGAAGATAAAAAATAACTATGAAATTGGAGGTTATTTCCTGAATGATCTTCAAAAATCACTTACATTTTAAAGCTGAGTTATTTAACTAACTTTCTTGTAAAAAGGCAAAACTATTACAGGTGGCAAAGATAAGGTTTATTCAGGCACCTCTAGGAAATGATTCTTAAAAATTCTCTAAAATTTCTAGAGCTTTTCCCCCCCAATGTTTGAAATTTATAGAATTAGTCATTTATTTACTAATCTCACTTTAAACCAAATATATTATGCTGACTTAGTTAAAAAATGTAGACATAAGGTATTCAAGTATAATTGAACCTCCAATATACTATAATCAGGTATTTTGAGACTAGTCAGATTATATTTTCCTTTTTACAGATTCTTAATTTTTTTCTCCTAAGAAATACTTTTTGGAAGGGAAAAAAAGGAAACAAATCTTCAGATGTAAATGAGTTTAAAATATAATATAGGGAAATTATTTTGATTGAAATCTAAATCCTACCATTCTGACTCCTTCAAATTAGAGTGTCTATATTGTTAACTATCACACATAAAGTATGTAGGGATCATTCCCCCTGTCCCCTTCCCCACAAGGGTTAGAAACTGAGCAAGCTTGGGTCCTCTCCAAATAAAACTGATAACATTCAAAAGTTAGAAACAATAATGTTACCTCTCCTGCGCCCATAAGTCCTTGCTGCATGTCAAATGAGAAAAAAAACAACCTTTCAAACATTGTCAAAAGAATCAAGTGTGATTTTATCTATCAGCTTTTGAAATTGAAAAAAATTGGCTATATATAATTTTGTCTCAAAAACAAATAATTTGGACGGTGAGAGGTCAATTTAATGCATTCTTTCTTTTTTTTAAGTTCTTCAAGGATACTGTAAGCTGTATTAGTTGTTTTAAGGGAAGCTTTTTGCTGTAACTGTCACCCTGGGTCCAAACTAGTATGAAACTAAGGGAATATGTTATGTAACATGATCTAAACCAACTACCACCATATTAATCTTATTTTCCCTCAGAATTCCCTGCTAACTAGCAATTCAGTAAATACTACAATATTTAATTCATGGCTTTTTCACCACTACAGGATAAACAGCAATTTTATACTCTCAATTAATCCCTAATAAAGAATATTATAACAAATGAAATCTTTAGGCAATTTATAAAACTTCTTTTAGCCAAAGGTTTCTTATCTCTAATCTAATCTTCTACTATGTCCCAAAGGTTGAAAAGTAAAAGGTTTGGCATTTTATCACCAAGTAGGTTGCAGCCAAGAAGAGAAGAAAAGTATACAATACACTTATATAATTATATGTATTTTCCTGAATACTCAGGAAATAGCAGTATAAACTTTAAATCAGGAAACTTTTGAGAAAAATCTTCCCTGAAATAAATTGGCACTTAGAAGCTGAGATTGCCCAAATACCTGAATTCTATTCAACAAACATTTCCTGAATGCCTTATCTTGTTAGGCACTATGGATAAATAGCACATGGCCCTGACTACACGGCTATAGAAGCAAATAACGATAATGCAGCATGCCTAATGCTATAACAGTTATGTGTCAGGTGCAACAGGAACAGAGGAGGAGCAGCAACGGGTTCTGATTAAAGAGTCAGAGAGAGGGAGGGGTAGCATTTGAGATGGACCTTAAAGGAAGAACAGAGAAAAGGCATTGCAGCCTGGGAATGCTGCAAATACGGATGCTGTAATGTTCAGGGAAAGGTGCCCAGAACAGAAGCATATGGAACAAGTTGGGTCTTGGCTGGAGATCAGGTTTAAATAGGAAACTGGGGTCAGTTTTCAAATTAGAAGGTGTAGCATCTTTAAGAAGTCATTACACTAACTGGTCAGGGTTTTAATTCTTAGCCCAATAGATAAATGCTAAATAAGCACAACTCAGTTATAACTGAGTTATAAATATAACTTAGAAGTACCATGTGCGTATTTCCCAAAATGAAATTACGTCTGATACCAAAATACATTTCTAGCATTACTAGATAACATTGGGTTCTACCAAAGTACTTGAGCAAAAATGGATTAAAACAACATAAAATCTCCTTCAGCCGTTAGGTTTCCACTTTAATAGGTCTTAAGTTTGGGGAAGGGAAGGGTATTTTCTGTCAACCTGACAAAGGTTAGAAAGACAAAGATATCACAAAAGCAGATGCTTGTTTAAAACATTCTATTCATACAACTGCTTCAAAGACAAGGGAGTCTGGGGAAACAAATGATTTGAAAATCTTGGTTCCGTCAATCTTAAAAAGTTGTTTGATGCTGCTTGGACTTCTGAGAAAACAGATACTTGAAAAGAGTAGGCTTTTAAAAGCTATAAAATTAACATAACTCTCATAGCTTCCATTATTTCAAAAATAAATATAGTTTCAGGAACAGTAAAGGCTATAGATCAAAAGCAAAAATCAAATACTCTCAAAGTCTTCAAATGTGTACTTTCAAACTTTGATTTTTGTGCCAAAAAATTAAGCTGGTTAATAAAAAAGAATTCATGGTTAAAGTCTGAGATTAAATTTTGAAAAATTTTTAGAAACATTTTCTCACATTAAGGGAAAATACATTATAGGTGTACAATGCTTATAACTATAAAAACTGCCCAATCAAATAGGGAAATTAAAACAAATTAGTACCGAAAAAATAAAAACAATGACATTCTGGAGCACAGAAAATGGAAATGTTTAAATTTTTGATTTCCACTTACTATAATGCTGGTAATACTATACATTATTTTAAATGTGGATTTTGACATATGACATATATACAGCAAAGTACACAAATCCTAAGTGTACAGTTCAATGAATTTTCCATAATGTTAACACACCTATGTAACCAGAACCCAAATAATAACACAATGGTAAATGCTGCCACTTCATCCTATGTATGAAAGACATACTAAGTAATTTTTCTCACCTATTTCAAATTATACTTAGTGCAAATATATTATGATGAAATACTTGTAACACAGATCCTCACCACTTTCCTGAGGAAAATGTCAGACAGATTTCTGATCTCATGATTATTAAGTGCTGCATATTATTTGATGTTTCTGAAACATCCCAGGAAGTGGCAAGTAAAAACAAAATCACTTTCAATATGTTTAAAGAAATTTATATTTTGGAAAACTTCTAGCTAAGTCAGCTGAAATAAACTCTGCTCAGAATATTTCTTTAATTACAGAAGAGTACACTTTTAAAAGATTTAAAAAATGCATGTTATTATTGAATAAAAATCTTCTAGTCCCCAGAGTTAAAATGAATACTATTCTACTTTTATTTTTATTTCTTAGTTTTGATTTATAAAGTACTCAATAATTTAATGTTCAGTACTAATATGATTCAAGAATGTTCTAAATGGGCTGGAAACAGTATGGCTATAAATTTTTGTAACTACTGGATGCATGTTGTTATTAGATCTATTGATAAATAATTTATTTCCAAAATATCTTTACAGTATTGCTTACAAACGCCCTATATTCATCATTAAATGATGAATATTCCCCTAGTAAATATTCCCCTAGTCTGGGATGCTAGATGTACAAAGAAAGTACAGAAAGACTTATCACATTTTTTTCAACATTACATATATATTTCATTATAAAAATGAAAATATTATTTATCTCAAACAGTATTTTTTTCTCATTTGTTGTAACATTTGTTATAGTCAAAAAAGAAACAAAGTAGCCACAATAGTGATACATTCATAAGAAGAAATACCTAGTATGCAGCCATTTAAAAAACGGGGCACATGTTCACCAGCTGATAGTAAAACTAAGAGGTAGTTTGTACAAGGTGCCTGTCTATTGTATGTTTCTTATTGTGTAAATTTAAAAATAAAGAAAATATAAATAGATATGTGGGAATATGCATATATCTTTTTTCTAGAAACCACAAGAACCTTTGGGGAGAGGAACTGGGATGGGGAAAGAAAGAAGGATTTCA